AAAGCTTCTTCAATCAAGACGTAGGGTCGGATGCCTTTTATTGAACATTTCTGTTCAGTTTTTATTGAGGCGACAACGGTCCAGGCAACAGCTGTTCTCCATGGATACATTGATTAAACAACAACACACAAAATTTTTTACTTAATGTTGACTAGTTGTTTTGATTTGAAATAAGTTTTGGAACCAGTTTTATGAAAAGTTACCTGGAAGCACAATTCATATATGGATGGAGACCTTCGTCCTCAACATGGCCGTCACAGATTTGACTCCTAGTTATAACCTTTGCACTATGCCCTTCCCCTCTCTCATTACCCTCTTTTCTGTCCACTCTCAAATAAAGGCCACTAGAAACAATAATACCTTTAAAAAGAAAAAAAACAAACAAACACACAGCTGTTTGACAGATCACCGTCAACTTCTCAACCAAAAATTACTGATGTGCTACGATGGCAGCCTGATAACAGAAAAGCAGAAGGCATAGCAGAGAAAATATATAGCATGATTGAACAAAACATGATGCCTATAAGTAAGGTTGATTTTGAGGGCTGTTGTGACTTCAAGAACTTAAAAGCTCAGAGTTTTAACATTCCTCCAAGACCACAGATTGTACTTTTATATGAATATCTCTCTGTTCACAAGGGATCAAGTGTTTCACATATTTTATTCTTTTCATCTTTTATTTTTCTATTCAGCAACTTCAGAAGTTCTATTTTATAAATTACTCTAAGTTTAATACTGTGAGAAAACTAAATTTTTTGTTTAATCCGTCAATATTTATTTATTTAGTCAGCTGACACAACCTAATGTTAAAATCTAACAATTTAAAATAATCAATAATATTACCAAGTCAGATCAAACATGGACTACATTTACAATCATTTATTTGTATTTCAGTTTTCACTCTAAACATTGCTTTTGATTTTTGTGAAGCTCTAGATACTGAGGTACTGGTGCTTTTGTTGTTGTTTTTTTGTTTTTTTTTCCACAGCCCACACCGTGGAGCTTCCAGCGGATGGATTCTCAGATTTTTTACAGAGGTAAGGCAAATGTTCTTGGTAGGTTTCGACCACATTTTTTCCCACAAGAGACATGTGACATTATTTCTCAAGACCATGGAGAGGAGTCAAGTCGTAGTTCACCTCCAGACTCTGCGGACTGTACCAGCAGCTCTAGTGAAGATGAGATTGGTTATGAAGACCGGGATGACAAGCAGGAAGAACCCCTTTTGCTTCCAGAAGACTCCACACCTATAGGGACCTCCCAACATCACATGGTAGGCTTGGAAGAGGATGCCGCTCCCTTGACATCTGCGTCCTGCATAACCAGAAAGAGGACCAGGGAGAATGAAGCTGAAGACATGATGATGATTTGATCAGAAAGTAACCTGCTCTCCACTTTTGTTCATTCAGAAATGAATAAATTCTGTGTTGATCTGTAGCATGACTGAGGCAAGATGACAACACTGGGCCAACGAGGAGAGAGAAGACGCAATGGACGGGGGATTCTAACATTAACATTCAATAAACTGTTCAAACTTTTCATTTATGTCTACATTTGTTGCTTGTGGAAATGTTTCACACGTAACCAGCGTGACATTGATAAATCAATTCAAAACCTTTTTCACAAATAATGTGATATTTATTTTTAAATTATTCAATTAAAAAACAAATACAAAAGAGGTTAAACCAACTTGGTTAGCAGTGTTAAAATATGTTTTAATTCGGTTTTCAGCCATTTTTAATCAAAAAATTTCTACTGCTTTGGACTCACTTTGATGCTAAAAATAAAAGTCTTTCTTTATGTTTAGTTTTCCTACAAACACTGAAAGTTTTATTTGTTACATCTTCAATGTCGATCCTAAATATTTTCCTTTTTTTAAATATCTTACACTGTTGCATATTTGTTTGAAACTGACAGTTTGAAACTGTCAGCTTCTTGCTGGTACACCACTGAATTCCCCCACAGACGGATTATAAAGGATATGTATTTTATTTTATTTATTTATTTATTTATTTTAATATAAAGGACAGCACTCCCCCTCGTGGTCATAAGTAAATAGGACAAATGCTTTTAAGACTCCCACACTCGGGCATATATACGCCACCTACTGACGTCTGACAGCAAAACCTAGGAGCGGGTGGGGAAACAGTCTCTGTGCTTCTTCTTGTATTAGTAGTCAGCGCTGCTGCCTTGTGAAAGGAAGCACAAATGCCCCCAGACTGCCGCTGTCACGTCGGCCTGGACCTGCTCTCGTCTTCGGGCCTCCTTCGCTGAGAGAATGAAAGGATGGCGGAGCGGCGCTTCGCCGGGGACCACGAAGTGCTGACGGATGCTGCGGCAGCAGCAGCAGCAGCGACTCGCCGGGCTGAACGGAAGCACCATGACGAGATGAATTCATCGGAGGATGCCGAGGACCTGTCTCTGGAAGAGATACTGAGGCTCTACAGCCAGCCCATCAATGAGGAGCAGGCATGGGCGGTGTGTTACCAGTGCTGCCAGACGCTGGCGAAGACCCACCGGGGTAAAGGGAGCCCCGCTGGCGCTGCTGCCACCGGAGCATCCTCGGCGGCGACGGCTCCGCGGAGGATATCTGGACCGGTGGATGTTAGGATACAGAAAGACGGCTCGGTGAGGATGGACCAGCGCGGCTGTGAAGGTAAAAGAAGCGGTTGTTCATGACAACCCAGCCCAATTTAAATTCATGAAGGGCTCAGCTGTTCAAGATTGTCCGAAATCAATCCACTTACTTGTCGCCTGTATTATCACAGGTTTATTAAAATGAACATGAGGACCACAGCGCAGGCAGGCCTATATCAATATGGGAACGCCTAAGTTGGGCTAATAGGCTCACACAAAGCCTATTTCACACTACTTCTTATTGTTTCTCAACCCCTTTTCCCTCCCAGTTTGGGCTCATTGTGCATGTGGGGATGAAAACAACACCCACGAGGCTATCAGGCTCCATTACTCTGCTCCTTCTGAGGTCTGACACACAAAAGAATCTCGGACCCTTGCTGCTCTCATTCTTGTGTGTTTTCACTGATTTCCACCAAGCCTGTTTTTCCTCATCCTCCCCACGTGTGTGCTCCCGTCATGCTTCACCTCGTTATTATTAGGAGCCTCCTTGCATGTTTTGCCACCTCGTATCAGATCAGGCTGATCATCATGATGCTTCCATCTGATTAGAGGAAGCGATTAAGAGTTGAACTGATCGGATTGAGGTGGCACACGGAATGATGCTTCCGTGGTGATCAAGTGCATTAATGTTACATTTCTGAGGTAAAAACTGTTTTTCAAGCAAATAAGTCGCAGTGAGTACATGTTGGGTGTGCCTCAAAGTAACACTTTGCTTTTTCTCGTCAAACTAAAGCAAGACATTTTTTTTATGTGTTCCCAGGGTGCAGACTAGACTGAATGCTAAGTAGATGCCTATCAGTCTTAATGGCTTCCAAAGGCCCAAGAGATGTGTTGTGAACCTGTATATACATACAGCTGAGCTAACTGTGTAGCCTTTGGTTCAATGGATGCTCCTCATGTCTTGTGTAAGCGACTTGGTTTAGCAAATCTGAAAGGCACAGCTGTGATGATGATGCTAGCGTTGGCCTGTAAGTCTATATGAGTAGAATGAATGGGCTATTTTTAGATGCGAGGAAGGGACCACTGAAGAGGGGAGAGCAATGTTGTGTTACTCTGTTGCATAATAATGCAAAATAGACACCTGTGTAAGATTTATTTTTTGTCACATATGGAGTATTTGCTCCCTTGCAGATTTCTTCTGGGTTTTTTAAAAATGTTTTTTCTTTGTCACGTTTTCAGATCAAGATACACATTTTAGTATTAGATAAAGATGAGTTGAGTAAACACAAAAAGCGGTTTCAAAATGATAATTTAATTTATTTGAGGGAAAACAAGCAATGCAGGCCAACCTGTACAAGTAATTGCCCTCTGAACCTACTGACTGCTTCGGCCACCCTCTGTGGCACCACCTGCTCTCAAGCATTTCATTAGCAATGACTCTTTCATCTCTAAGGAGGAATGATGACCCACTAATCTATGGATAATTGTTTTAATATATTCACACTAGGGAGTTTGAAATGCCACACCACTTTGAATAGGCCTCCCAAAAACCTTAATTTAGTTGTTTTTGAGGCATTCATTTTCTTATTTGTTGGTATGTACCAAATCATTGTTTCAAACCACAGTCCTCCAGGCTTGCAATTCTTAGATTTGTCCCTTGTCCATTGAATTAAATGCAAAACTGCCTCGCTAGCATGCAGTCAAGCTCTTCAGAGCTCTGCTAATGAGCTAATATTGAACTCAGGTGTGCTGAAGCAGAGAGACATCTGAAAGTTGTAGGACACCGGCCCTTGAGGAATGCAGTTTGAGACCACTGACTTAAGACCAGGAACTTACTGCTAGATGTTCACCTTTAGGATTTTCTGCTATTGCAGAATTAATGGTTCCATCGATTATGACAAGTCTCGAAGAAGCAAAGCAGTCTCACATTACCACCATGTTTGACTGATGATATTATATTTATTTCCTAAAATGATGCTTTAGTCTGATGTAGCGGTATGCACACCTTCCAAAAGATTTCAGTGTCGTCTCGATAGTCCAATATATTTCTTGGGGAAATGTAACAGGCCTCTGATCTATTTTTGGTCAGAAGTGGTTTTCACTCCTTTAGGAGCTCTCCAATGGTTGCCAGGTGTTTCTTTATTTTTATTGTTGCATCAATAACTCGGAGAGAAACGATGTCTACAGTGTTTCAGACTTAGTTCACTTTTTAGATACTTTATTCCACGCCACCTTCATGATATTCTAGTCTTCCTCTTAATAAGTAGAGTTAAATATTGATGGAATAACATCACATAAAAATCTGTAAACTTTGTCATTTCACATGTATCAGTGAAATCTCAGTTTCTTGCGCAAGTAGTTGTTCTAATTGCCACTTATTGATAGTCTTCAGTAGTGCTGTTCTGTTCTTCCTCTACACAGGAGCTTGGCTAATCAGACTCAGTCGTGTACATAATTAGACAAACCAATACAGAGTGCTGTTAGGAGTTTTAAATCTCTTATTTGCTAAGCTGACCTTTGTTTATATTCAAAACAACATATTTTAGACCTGGACGTCGACCAAAATTTCTTGTAGTGCTGTGAAGAACTCTTTCCAGTCCTATACCACTCTTATTTTACTTTTGCTTCTTGTTTTGTTCCCCTTAAATATTTTAGGTTTTAAATTGTTTTTTAATATCAAATAGAAATAATTTGAGGAAATATACTGTTGTTTGCTTTAAAGTACAATTTTACTTATTAAAGGAAGAAAGCGATCAAAACTAATCTCCCTATATGATAAACCAAACATTTGTACCCAAACCACGACATCTGTATTTTCCAAATAATTCACTAGAGATAAAAAATAAAAAACATATGTCCTTGAAGGAAATAACTATATGCCTATATTTCTAAATATATTGCTAACCATATATCACTGCTGGCACCAAGCGTTTTGGAGAGGAAATGCTCTTTCCTGAGGTCTTCTCTGCTGCTGAATGGCCAGTCATTTTTGCTAATAACAGTTTTTTCATGATTCAGTTGTGGTTTACTTTTTCAAACTGGGCCTTTTGTATTTAATTGTGTTTATATAATTAATTTCTGATGATGTGAAACATTTATACTGTGACAAGAAGCAAACACTGAAGAAATCCGAACGGGGCCAAATAGTTTTCATGGTCACATGCACTTTGTGTTATGTCGATCCAAATAATATTTAGCAAACATATTATAAACTTTCTTCTAAAGACAAATATACGTAGATCTTCACCTGACAGCAGTGTGGCCTGTACTCTGCTGATTCAAGTTGATGTCCTGATGATGTCACTGACAATGTGGTGATGCATTACTGTCTGTTATCGTACAAAGGAGTTATTTGTTCGGAGGAACATCTGTCAGCTGCTTGTTTGGTCATGAAGTAAAAGATGTAGCCTGGAGAAGTTGCTAAAGTGTCTTTCTTTTGAAGAAGGAACATTCATCCCACAAAGGTTCTTGGAAAGAGTTTTGTCATCACGGATCACATGCAACTCAAACTGATGAAACGATTAGAATTAAAGAAATTTGAACAAATAAAGCAGGTCCAGTTTCCACAAAGACATGAACCAAGCAGGGAGGTTTGACTGAAGGAGTTTAATGAGAAGCATAGAAAAATGCACTAGAATTAACAACATTAAAAAAATTTTGCGGTTCGTTTACTTGAACTGCCAATAAGCAGAAGTACTTATAGGCACTTTTCTCTTTTCTTTTTCTTTTTTTTATTTATTTACACATACGGAGTACAGACACTCTATTATTTATTAGTTTTCTTTATCTGGGACCTGAGTTCAAATTTTGTACCACAAGCAAGCAATTGTGAAATGGTATGACCAGGGGTGAAAGTAAGGGGGTACAGTAGGGTACTGCGTACCCCTAAAAGATTTAGTGGGGGTACGCAGTACCTGCAAGAGAGGGGAGTGGCTGTCTGCTGTAAAGAATCAATGGATT